AGAGAGAGAGAGAGAGAAAAGAAAGAAGATTGTGGGATTCTGTAAATCTTGAAAACTTCTTTTGATCTTTGGAAGTAGTGGTTAAATATATAAAATATTGCAGAATTCTAGGGCATTTCTCTCTCTCACCAAAAGAGCACCAAAACTTCTAAAYTGACAAAAAACAGCTTGTTGTATTATCAAAATTTATTAATGTTACCCATAACTGCTTGCCATTTCTAAAAGTTTCTAGCTTAGCAATACCAATATTTCATGGTATTTACATCTTAGCACAGGCCTAACATTTCCCATGCACCCAAGTCTTATTTTGCAGATATTTAAGCTTTTATTGGGAAGGAGCTACACAACGAGCCTTGACAGGATGGCACCTGGGGCCTCCCTATCTGCCCAGCTCTCCGGGCTTGATTATAGGTAAAAACTCAAAAATTTAAAGTATGGAGATGAACTTCAGGTTGGCAAAGCGCCTCATCATCCTCCCGAGATGCCAACAGCGTTAAATGACAGCAAAAYTGTCAACAGCAAAACTTGTGGTCCGGTGCCTTCTTAGTCAGTCCAGAGCATCTCCCTTGCTTCCCAAAGGTAACGCAGGAGCAGGACAGGGGCTGGCGCGAGAGCCGGAGGCGGTGCGGGAACACCAGGAATGCGGCGCCACCGGAGCGTGCCCGGCCCGGAGCTACAGAAATGACCCCAACGTGCTCTGCTAGAGCTACAGAAATGACCCCAAAGTGCTCTGGGGTTTACCGGGGTGCTGTGCGCCGGCTGCACCCCGACCTTCGGCTACCACCAGAAATCACCTGGCCGAGACACACCAGGGCTCCGGTGATTTGGCAATCCCTGTTTTGGARGCTGGGATAATAGGCCTGGAGTCTGACTAAACCCAATTACCCAAATCTAGTCCGTCACATTAGGGAAAAGGGGAAGGAGGCGTTGAGTCTTGGGGGACTAAATTATGTTCTTAGCAGGGAGGGAAGATAAAAATATTTGTGAAAGGCTGCAGAGATTACAACTCGCCGCACACTTCAGCAACTATGTCAAACTGCTCCTACAAACCTCTTCAGCAGGTTCCTCTGAAGCAAACCTTTCCATTTCCTTATATAGCCCCAGTTTTAATTGCATTGCATCACGTAACTAATTTTCTATATATATCTTCATCCTTCCAATTTACCAAGAAACAAGTGTGACTTTGGATGAACAGGGATAGRGATATTTAGGGATCTTCTCCTAAAAGGTAAACCGAGAGAAGCTGAGAAATGAGGCAGAGAACTTAGTATCTCAAAAGAAACATTAAATATTTCCTTATCCTCAATCTTATCACATTAACCTTAGATTTCCTATGGTCACTTGGCTTATTTCCTGGCACCTGGCATGTTCATAATTAGAGAGAAGCACTTCCTAATCTACAGAAAGTGATTAATGCTGAAGGAGGTGAGGATAGAAACAGCTGAATCCATTACTGTATCTATTGGCTCCAGTAAAACCGCATGCCACAAAAAGTACCCTGTTCCTAATCATAAACAGTAACACACCAATCAAACATGCCTAGATATCAAAATTATACTGTCTTTGGCTTTTGCCACCTGCAAACATAYAAAGCAAAGCAATTCAGAGATGCTTACAAAACACACTCCGAGAATTTCTGCATGTCACAGGCTGGAGGAAACTCCCGAGGACAAAGAAAAGGCTCCAAGGTGAATTTAAACTCACCAAGCTGGCCTGGATTTGAACACACAACACAGTACTAATGAGAATTGTGGTGATTACTTTGCTGGAGGACTTCCGGAATACTCATGCTTAATTGTAGCTGTATTTCGGTAATTAATCTTAACAGCTCCTCTGTTTCTCCTCTTCTCCCCCTCTCAGATATGAGGTKTGAATTTTGTCATAGACATATGCATAGCTTCAAACTTACTGTAGCTTTTATAACAATTAGCACGTAAAACAGTCCATCAAGAGGAAATCAGACATAATTCAGATTTGTATCCACTGCTTGCAATGGGTTACACATAAAAAAAGACACCTCTACCTTTCTCATTGTAAAGCTCAATTTCTTTCACCTTGGTTATAACTCGTAGGTACAGAAAAGCCCTTGCCATGACGCTGTTGGACTTGGGCAGGACTAACCACCGTGCTGCTATTAAACAAACTTAGGTAGTGCTAAAAGGCCTAACCTAAACGTAATGATGACAGCAGTTGCAACCTGAAATCAGGCCAGTTTACTGCGCCTGTCCCTGAAGGACTTTCCATAGTGTGTGGTCATAGTTTGAAAGAATTTCTCCACTCTATGCTCACATTGCGAGAAAGGTTCACCGAAACTCACGAGTTGCCTATAATGAGGAAAAAAAACCCAAAACTGATCTCAGAAATGCATCTAGATGTCCATAGAAAGACTATTTCTCTCTCGCCATTACGTCGTTCATTGTTTGTGTTGATTATACAATGCAGATAAAACATTTCAAGTGGAGCTTCAAAGAGAAGTCATCCCATCGTCTTTGAGGAACACCTACAAGAAACCCAAGACTTATGCAGCTTTGTCCATGCGCTGTGCTCTCCTGCTGCAAACAGCCCATTTATGTTAACATGATTTAATTCATGAAGTGGCTCTGCGGTGGCTCTGCTTTCAAAGCACTGCTCACTTGGGAAAACTCTGAGATAGTGGGAGAAACAAAGCCTGGAGAAACTTTGAGAACAAGGAGGTTGCCCAGAAAAACAGAATAATGGAGTGATCTCCATAGGTGGCAACCACATCTGCTGACAAAAATAACAAAAAATTAGGAAACTCCCGCACTTCCTGCACTTCAGCTCACATGCAAAGATAAGAGATTTTCAAGAAGCTGTTACCTCTGGTACTTTGTCTAAAATCACATCTTTATGATTCCTTTTTTTTCTAATGGGTAGAGAAACAGCTTAAAGGTTGGTTACCGCAGAATGACAGTGGTTGGAGCTGCTGGAGAGCGTCCAGCGCAGGGCTACGAGGATGATCAGGGGCCRGGAACATCTGCCCTRTGAGCAAAGGCTGAGGGAGCTGGGCCTGTTCAGCCTGGAGAAGAGAAGGCTGAGGGSGGACCTGAGCAGTGTCTACAAACACCTCAAGGGAGGCAGTGAGGAGGATGGGGTGGCCTCTTTGCACTGGTGGACACCAACAGGACTASAGGAAACGGCCACAAACCGAAACACCAAAAGTTCTACAGGAACTTAAGGAAAAATTTCTTGACAGTGAGGGTGCCAGAGCCYTGCCCAGAGAGGCTGGGGAGGCTCCTGCTCTGGAGATCTTCCCAACCCACTTGGACACAATCCTGTGCCCCGTGCTCTGGGTGTCCCTGTGTGTGCAGGGCGTTGGACTGGATGATCTCTACAGGTCCCTTCCAACCTTAAGCATTCTGTGATTCTATGATTGCTCTATAATGAAGACTAAACTGGATGTTCTATAAAGAAGACTAAACTGAATTTCCATAATTAAGCCTGATGTAAGGCTAGAATCTTAACGTTATGAAAAGAGTAGGCAAAAAATACTTGGGCTCTGGTTCCAAATTCTAAAAAACATTCTTTTCATGGAAGCTGCAGATAACCTCAAACTATCTAACTCAAACACAAGTTTTCCTTTTGTTTCATGGAAACAAAAATATGGTTTGTGGTTCGATGACACAGTCTTTTACGTAAAAACAAGAAAAGCCAGGAAGTGGCAGACTAAGACCTCAATTTTGTAAGCTGACTCAACTGGCTGACCCCTTATGTCCACTCCAAGCCCCACTGATGCAACTCAGCAAGGCTTTAGGGCTCACTCACATGAACTAACTTACAGATCATAGCATATATGTCCTATATGCTAGGTATACTTTAAAAAGTCAAAGTTATTTAAATGTGRGACCACACACCTCTGTCCAATCATATAGATTCTGTTACATAGATACACAAAGAAAACGTTAATGGTGGGAAAAGCCTTCAGTAACTTAGCAAGTAATTGCCTAAAGCTGCTGCAGAGAACCAAGGCAGCAAGARAGGAGCAGTTGTCTCCTTGGCTATGCTTATATCTGGCACCAGGATGCTAAATGTGCTTGGTGTAAGGACCCCCACATACAACGCGCTGCTTACCACCTTCCCAAAATAGTTGGAGAAATCCCTCTCAACGGCTGCCCAGGGAGCCACAAATAAAGGGCCACAAACAYGGCTCAGATACAGCAGCCAAAAACTGGAGCTATTCCTGAGACAGCGCCGTGGCTCTCCGACGGACACGTCGTGAACGTGAACCAGCCTTGCCATTCAAAAGGAGCTACAGGGCAGTGCTCAGCGCCCGAATCATGTAACGAGACCATTTGTTTATTGTCATAACACTTATTTAGCTGCCTTCCTGGGGAGCCCTTGCAGAAAGGAGCAAGAAGGTGGGTGATTAACTACAGGGCAGTATTTTCACAACTCTGAAAAGAGTTCATGATCAGGAGTAGTTGTATGGATAAAGGTGGTGCTTCCTCGCACGCTTTCCTGCTTTTCTTGAAGGGCTTGGAAGCCTCCTGGGCTGGACAGATGCTGCTGGAAACGGGAGCTTTTCGAGCATCCCACTGCATGGCTTTTTGCTTTGCCCCGGTTGTCTGGGGCTGTCGCCAGCCTGTGGGTTCCCCCAAAGAGCCAGGGTGCTGACACTGGCACCTGAGCAAAGGAAGGATGAGGAACAGCAGCAGCCAAAGTGCTCCTGAGCAGGGCATTGTTATAAAGTAATGTGTTTCTACCCCTTCCTAGGGAATCAGCCCATGCTAAGGAAGCCGCCTGTGACCTCCCACCCGCCTCTGACCTGCAGGTGCCAACAGGGAGAGGTGCAAAGCCCTGGAGGGAGCAGGAGGAGCTCGAGGAACCACCCCTGCTTCCCAGGCCCACTTTAAAGGCTTTTTTTAAGGCTTTTACAGCACATGTCCCTGTTGGAGCAGGGGAGCTGGACCAGGTGGTCTCTAGAGGTCCCTTCCAACCTCATCCATTCTGTGATTGTGTGGTTCTATGTGCTGATCCCCCCACCAGCACCGTGACCGCTGCGAGCTCCTCCAGCCCCTCCCCCCGGATGGAGAAGCGGGGATCCGGGGGCTATTGAGAGGTATTTCGGGGTGCATTTTCCTACTTTCCCGGCGTGGTTCCAAACGCAGCGGGAAGCCCGGGGGGGGGGGGGGGAGGGGACCCGCGCTGCCCTCGCCCTGCCCCGTGGCCGCCACCCCCCACCCCGGAGGGGAGGGGAAGGGAGGGGAAGGGCACCCCACGGCCGCTGCCCACGGCCACGCGCGCCCCGCGGCGGGAAGGAGCGCGCGTCTCCCCTTATGCCGCTCCCTCCGGGTACCTCTCGGCGTCGCGGCCGTCGAAGAAGACGAAGTCGCCGCTCTGGACGCACTTGGCGCAGGTGAGGCGGCGGCGCGTGGTGTTGCAGAGCGGGCAGCGCTCCACGGCCACGTAGAGGCCCTCGGCGTCCTCGTCGGCGGCCCCGGCGCCGCCGCTGCCGCCCTGCCCGCCGCCCTGCGGCCGGCGGCCGCTGGGAGCCGCCATGATGGGCTCGCCGCGTCACGTGGCGCTTTGTTTTCCCGCCGGGGCATTGTGGGTAGCGGCGACCAACGGCCGTGGGCGCCATGAGGGCAGCGCCGCCGCCCCCGGCCCGGCCGCCCAACGGCCCCCGTTTGGGCCGTTTATCTCCTCATATCTCCCCCTGCGGCAGCAGGACAGGGCCCAGGCCCCTTCCCGACAAGGTTTGTCCTTCTCTCGCTAAACAATAGCCGTTTCTGCCCCGCTCTGGGGGAACGTTGTGTGCTGACTGCTGCCCCCAGCGGCCTCCATTGGCCCCAGGTCACTGCTCTAACAAGCAAATACTCCTTCAACAAGCTGCGGTTTTGCTGAGCGAGTCGGGGGAGCTCTGCTCCACGCTGCAGTCATCGTTAATGGGTTTTGCTTCCGTTTGGGTGTGCTTCGCCTGTCACCAACAGCCCTTGTGTCATCTCTCCCCAGGGTAGGACACAGCTGAGGAGGAGCAGGGCAGTGTGGTGGCTCCGTCYGCAGTCAGCACCGTCCTGACAGGGCTAAAAGGGCCCTTTGCACCATGGCCAGCCGCTACCACAGGGACTTCAAACACCAGTGAAAATAACCGCTTTTGGCAAGTACTGGCAGTGATGTTGAGAACACAATATTTGTTAACAAAAAYATATCCATCGAGGCACATTCTTGTAAGCCTGTCCCAGGGTGGGAGTCATGGAATCAGGAGTCAAACAGGCATGGTCAGGCAGTAGCCAGAAAGAGAGAGAGTTCTGTCAGAATACACTAGGAAATTAGAAGGCAGAGTCAACAAATCAGAAATAAAATATTCCCTCCCAATATTCCTTCCCCATCCTACTCTTTATGTCAATGTTTTGTAGCACTTAAACAACATTACATGGCTAGAACCGAGACACTTAAAAAAGAGGCAACCAAATAGCTTAATGAAAAACCACAAAAATCCATTTGCATCTTTAAAACATTATCCACATTTTCAAAGAGTATTAACATTACTAGTAAGGTTATATGACAAGCTTTTAATGAAAATATAGGTTTTTTTTTTTTCTCTGAAAGAGGGCTCACCATAGATAAACCTTTTCCAAACACCTCAATAAAAATAGGTGGTTGCTTTTCACTTACAGGGATCTTTGTAACTCAAGCTTATCAGCTTTTACAGCTTTAGTGCAAATAAAAGTTCAGCCCGTAGCTGTGGAAAGTGTACATCATTAAAAACAAACAGAAAAGTAAGCCTCTGTTTAGAGTAGATTTGTATGTGGAAATCCACAGTTTAACTATGACAAAGCAACTGATAACATAGTTRAGACCAGTTTATCACAAGGAAGTACATGAAGTTTTTCAAGCTTTTCCTCCCACCCTCCCAGAAGAGCATAGAAAAAGTTACACAAAATGCTTTTCGTTCTGCACTGTGTCTATACTGCAGAAATGGAAGTTGAATTTCCATCCTTGCTGATTGCAGTTGAACTCAAAACAGCAAAACTAAGCCCAGAAAGACCATAACACCCGGTTCTATATGGAGCCATTGCCCATATTGCACATTTGTAATGCAGAAAGGAAAGAGGCAGGCTTTATGCTGGGTTAAATTCATCTAACAGCAGCCTCTAGTGGCCCAGAAAGAGCTTGTTCTCTGCTAGGTCCTTATTCAGCAGGAAACAAGGGAAAAACACAAGACAAATCCCAGACACTCTAAAGCCCTGTTTTGGAGAGGAAAGGCAGGGAATCCTGCCYGAGAAACCCAAGTGATTAAACCTTGAACATTAAAACTTTTGAATTCTGCTAAAGCCTGTTTTAGAGCCATTTCCTAACCCACATGTTCTTTGGGCCAAACAACATCCAACTTCCATTATCTGAGGGCTTCAGTAATGCAGGCAGGATTTTGATTAAAAATAAATAAATCAAACTTGTGTCATGACWTTCTAGACAGTTTGCTTAGTTCTACCCCCTTCTGGGTATGCTCCAGCACTACCTGTGGCCTTGAATGTCTTGGCCAAAAAGGGAGCACCAAAACCATTACACAAGAGTTCATCCAGCCCCTGGGGTCAGAGGAAGGACTTGGGATATATCCTCTACAATCAGCCTTCAAAACCCTGAAATCAAGTCATGCTGTATTTTCTAAGCTAYATTGTAGACAAAAATGCACTTTGAGTTTAAACACGAAAATACAGTGCTATAGAAACTAGAACYGCCCTGAGGGCTTTGACAAAGCTTGTTTTAAGTATTCTGTAAATCAGTACTGTACTTAAGTGCTACTTTAACACGCATTTCTATTAAAAGTGCATTCATTTTGGCTAAATCTTCAGCTCGATACAAGTTGCTTGAATTCAAGTGGATTGCAGAGAGCAAAAGCCTCCAAACAAAAACCCCTTTCATCAACTAGAGAAAGACATTAGCATTTTTAGTGTTTAGAATAGCACAATTTGCTTAATAATCCACAGGTCTAGAGCTGGGTACAGGAATAGCATGCACAGCAATACAAACCCGTGTATTCTTAATTGCTTTCTGAGCTTTGTTATGATGATTTCTTGAAACCTTTTAGAATGGGATAGATGTTCTCAAATGCCTCATAGATTTCAGAACGCTCTTTTGCTCCTGTAAAGTCATGTAGGAGAAACAGATTAAGCATTGGAAATAACTGAAYGCAGTTCCGAGCTAATAATGAGATTACAAAATACATGGATTTAAAAGTCACTTTAAAGTACTGTCAGAGATTAGCTTTTAAAAGCAGAATTTTATTGAGATACTTCTGCCTTCCCTTAAAGAAGAGAATTTCTATTTTCCCTTTAAGATGAGATTAGATTTGTTTACATCTGTAGTACAGAAACAGCACTTAGCCATTGTCAGCAGGTAAGGAATGTTGTGGAAAAATAAAAAAGGCAGCTTAGAAGAATGGCATTGTTTCTTTAACAGCTCTGCCTATTGTTAGGTTAAGTGAAGAGCAGGAGATAAGGAATGAAAGGCATTTTTTTYCCCCCAATACTGGAAGTTGATCCACAGCGTATTTCAAAACTGGAGGGGAGGAGTTGTAAAAAACTGTGGGGTTTTGTTTGTTTGTTTTAAAAGCTTTAAGTCATTTGCAATTTCTAAGCCAGCCTGATCCCTGTTACCACAAGCAAATCTGTAATACAAGCATTGTACATTAACTGTACTGCAGTAGACAAGAACATTCCTGGCCAGAGACAGTACTTTACCATGCCAGCGTGAAAAACATTAGCTGTAAGCAAACTGCACTTAGATGAACTAAATAGCTGGACTAAGTGGCACTCAGGATGAACTTCTAAATCTTTTCCACAAGAATATGTCAGAACACACTTGGTCATGACTAATTCATTTGAGTTACCACAAGAACCTTTCTTGATAGAAGGCAAAAGGCAAAACAAACACAAACCCACACACTCAACAGATTGATTTTTTTTTCCCCCCCATTACTGTTGGGCCCAGTGTTCAGAGATACAGACTTATTCCTTACCTTAACCTGAATCCTTTTGGGCCAGCTACACATTCCAGAAGAGAGTGAAATTAGTTTACCCAAAATGTATTTTGCTGTTTTGCAGATGTCTGTGGAGTAGAACTAACCAGTATGATTTTAGTGGACTGAAAAAAAGGGAAATTGGAGATGAAGGCAGCCTTTAAGCTATGTCCTGAGTGTCTCATGGCTCAATTAGTTGGACTCATTCATGATTTATGACTGTGAGAATCTCTGGCTAAGGAAAGCTCTTTCTCATTTGTCTTTCACATACCACAAAGCTCTGGTGTCAATATACATGCAATGTCCAGGTCTTCTGGGAAGAAGTAGTAATATTTACTTTTTGGTACATCCAAATAAAAGCATTTTTTTTTCTCCTGAATTTTACAGAAGAATGTTTAGGGACACACACTCAGAAATTTAACTGAAATATGGATATCTCTTGTATGAATAGCTTTTTTTTTTCCTTCCTCCTCTCTTTCAGTAAAGCTTTTGCTTAGGAGTTCTTTGCCAAACAATCTGGAATGGGTTCCTACATCTCCACCCTTTCCTCTCATAAGGTCTAGTAAATGTTGTCAGTGAAGAGTTTTAAGAACTTTGCTTCCTGTCCAAACATTTTTAAACTGCTGTTATTATGGTATCTGTAATTAAGCAACCAAGTAGTTACTAGCATGTCAGCATCCTGCTGGGATTTGGTACATTTATGCAAGGCATAAAGCCATATGTGTCAAATAAGATATTTGAGTTTAATGATACAGAGCTCTGAAAACATTATATGAAGAAATATGAGATTCTAGTGCAACAATGCCCATTGTTACCCACAGAAACACAGTAAGGCAACACTAGGCATAAATAAGCTTGTTAGGTGGCTTTATTATGGTAGGATATTAATTTAGTTAATGTTCAACTCAAACACTTCCTTAGCACATATGGTAGCACTTAGAGCTGTACAGAGGGATACAACTTACCAGTCAGTACAACTTTTCCAGACACAAAGATGAGCAGCACTATCCTTGGTTTGACCATCCTATAAATAAGTCCAGGAAATAGTTCAGGTTCATAGCTGTTTAAAGCAAATGGGTAAGTTTATTAAAATAGAAGCATGCTTCAGTGTTGATTGCATAAAGAGCTCTTTAAGTTACACTAAAAATAATGTAATCATAGATCTTAAGCTAGCTACCTATAGAAAGGTAGATTAGGCCCTGTGGAAGGGAAACCTGGCAGATTCTGCTGGAGCTTCTAGTTCTCCGTGTTCACTTCTAAAGACTTCGGAGCTGCTTTGGGATCTGCTTTTCTACAGAGCTGAAACTATTAATGTAACCTCCAAACAGCACTCAAMCCTTTTCTTAGTCTGCAGAGAGCCCTTATTATGAAGGGCCTGCYGTAACTAAGACAGGAAGACAGCCAAATGTGTTTTATTATATTTGTAGTCTTTCAGCCAAAGCAGCCCAGAATTAAATAACATGTTACATGTAGTGATAAAACAACCTCCCACCCACCCCCCATGCAGACACCTGGGATTTTCCCCCCACCTCCAGTGTTGAAATCCTCTTGCTTTCCTTGGTGATGGCAGTAACTAGCTTTGAATAAACCAGTCCTGGAGAGGGCACAGCACTTCCACCACCCAAAGTTTTACCTTAAGTTAACATGTAATGAAAATCCAGTCAARTAAGAATCAAAGTAGTATCTCAGAAACATACCATATTCCCAGTTCTGTATTTTGCAACTGGAGTTTGGCTTCATCCCTAAAGTCTAAAAARCTTATCTTTGCAGATGAACATTGAATTTGATGGGAGTTATGCCAGAGGCCAGCTTAGCAAAAGATCTRTAGTGGGAACCTGGTGTATGACCTTCCCTCCAAGTAGCTTAAAAAGTGATTTAAATAACCCTGAATTGTTTAATTAAGACTTGTTATTTTCCTTTTAACATAGTCCACAATAAAAAAGCATCCACTAAGATTAGACATTGTTAGACAGAGCTAGTTTAGCAAAGTTCTGATTACTTACACGGCTCAGGTTCATGAAAAGCCCTACTGCATCTTTCCTTGTGCATAGCTGGTAYGCAGCAGCACAAGGATTGTGCCAAGCAGAAATGTTCAAAGTCAAAGAAAGCCATAAAAAGTCTCTTGTAACCAGTTGATCAGAGTAACCAAGTTTGATCAGAGTAACTGATCAGAGTAACTGAGTTTCTTGCAAGTTCCCAGCCCTTCATCTTAACCAAATCTAACACATCTAGTTTAACCGTAGAATCACTTCTGGGGTATGTAGTACACCCCCAGTTACAAGGGTCTCAAAGCTGGTGGTTATAGTGTCTCTGCATGGAGAAAGTAGTAAAATTATCCAGGAGAACAATTTAGAAAAGACTTTGCTGCTGCATTGTGTCAGTCACTGCTCAGGAGCTGAGAGTGTCACTGCAAGTTACTGCACATCATCCTAGCAATTTATCAGAGGGTCATTTTGGCCTGTGTCCCACTAGGAACAGGAGCTATTGCAAGAGAGGCAYCTTACTAACCTTTTAGCAACACATGGCACCCATAGCCACTTTACACTTGCCCAGCCAGTTCTGGTGAGCAGAAAACACACTATTGAGTATCCAATTAATTATTCTTTTGCCAGATTTGCACAGCCTCAGAGTTTGATCCTGTTTACAGATTACAAAGACACTGCTTCAAGCATTGCAAGCCTCACCACAAGCCTCACCACAACCTACCTACTAAACTGCTGGTGGGTGAGAACCAGCCCTTCCAGCCGGATGGGAAACCTCACGTCACAGCTCCCAACCATGTTCTGTATCTTGAAGTCCAGAAACTTGGCAGGGAACCCAAGCTTCTGCACCACACGTGCATACTTCCTTGCTGCAAGCCGTGACTGCTCTTCACTGAAGGAGCAGAAGAGGGGGAAATTAGCTTTGATTAGTGATTTTCTTCTGTGAACATGAAAATCGCTTTGCATGGAATATTATTAACACTTTTTTACTGTAAATTAGCACCCAAGGTTTGTGTAGGAATACTTTTTCTCTCTTTTTTTAAGAAAACTGAGATGACCTTGAGCTTACTGTTCATATTGAGCACCTGGAGTTTTTGGCTCTTTCTTTTTAAAAGTGCCACAAGACTCTGTCCACATCAAGAAGGGTCCAAAAGGCATCTTCAAAGACAAGCTGGGGACCAAGTATATTGATTAATAGTAAACATCACCAAAACAAATATGGCATATGGAAGTTCTCTTCATACTCCTACTCAAGATAAATCTCAATGCTCCAAAGGCAATTACTTTCCTTCCTCAAGTTCCATGTCTCACACAAGTGAGRCCACCACCATCTTTCAGATCATCTAATTTAATCAACTGTCAATTATCTTAACTGATCCAAGTTCCAAAACTTAACCTATTTTTTTTGTCTTTTTTTCACACTTTCATACCTAGCCTTATATAATTGTTCTGCCCATTATGGGAGTTAACCTGCCAAGAAAATACAGACCTCTTCAGAGAAGTCCCAAGCTCTCTATCTAGGTAATCTTGTCTGCCATGTGCTTATTCTGGAGTAACCATATTGCACCAAGAAGCCAGGCACAGAAACATGGAAACAACTCGGGTAGCTTTGAGGCAAAGCCCAACCTTCAGCATGGAAGTTTTAAGTCTGAGAAAAACAAGCTTAAGGAGAAGAGACATTTTAAACTGTAAGTTAATGTATTATTCCATTGACATTTCAGGCCATAAATCAGAAAACTACTGGACTTGAGGACAAGAGCCTCCAGGTATAGAAATAATCTTCCATTTTCTCCAATTCCTGTTTTTCCTGGAGGCAGATCTAGAGAATGCACACTGAAGAGAGACTTGACAGACACAGGTTATGCCCTGACTCACTTTAAAGACAGTGAGAAACGCTTATATCACTTCTTAACGAAGTCCTGGGCATTTTAGCAGCTTTTCTGCTAATGTCTACTTGGCTCAATCTGTAATTGGGAGCAGAAGCATGCAGTTCAGTAATTACTGAACTCCCACAGTGAAGCAAGCTACACATTTTCAGGACTGGTGCTTCATTTTTAATTCACTATTATGGCAATCAATGGTAGATAATGTTATAGCTTGAAGACCCACCTTTTTGCTCCAGTGCAGACCATTTTTCCTGAACTGAAAATAAGGGCAGTTGTTCGTGGTTCCCTGATTCTCATGATCACAGCAGCAAACCTCTAGAAAGTCAGAGTAATGTCTCACAATCAGTCTGGAGGATACAATTGGTACTGTATTTCAGTTCATTAGTCCAAAAATTACCACCTTCAAGTAGCTCAGCACAGCATGGACTTGATTTGCAAGAGTAAGTGCTTACTTGTTACCTTCAAACAAGAATCTTCAAGGACATGGGGATTCAAGAACACAGACACAAGGCCCCTGCCTCTTTCCATACATTTTAACATCTTGAAATCCCTTAGTCACCACGTCTATTTTCAGTAAATTTCTACAGTCCAGATCATTTGCTACAAGTGTCACATCATACTACAGCTTCCCCAAAAGCCAGTCTAACTCCTTAATTTCCTTTCCTTCACTCAGGAGTTTTGGGGCAGCTTTTCGCCCCCCATTTCCCCCCACCCCAGATGAGGGCTGCTTGAGCCATTTCAGCAGGGGGGAACAAACCACAGATGGGAGAGGTCACATCTTTTGGGGGGAACATCTCATTGAAGAATCACCCTGTGCTTTATTCTAAGAAGGACAAACAAACATGGGACAAAAATGCATTTTGTTTTTTAAATTTAACAAATCCAAGTTGCTGTGCTTTTGTGGCTTTCTCCTGGGGATCAAGACAGTGCTATGAGAAAAGGGACAAAACCTACAGACCTTACTTGAGCTTAAATTCAGCAGCGCTGAGAAAGAGAAGTGGAGGTAAAGCTTAAAGTCCTTAGGATTTACCTTGGGGTTATACTCTGCGTTTCTGGCGTGCAGAGCTATGTTCTTCAGATCAAGTTTACAAGCCAAGTTTACGGTCGACACTATATTCCTGAGGAACAAGAGAGGAATTCTCTTACTGCAAAAGCAAGCCTGTACAGAGCCAAACCCCAACATTATTAGCTTAGTGTGAAGTCACAGTCCAATTAATTGCCATCAACTAATTTCCTGCCTGCCTCTTTCCCACTCCAACACTAAGCTACTTTTGGCAAAACTTAGGTAATTCAATACCAAAATTAAGGTTTCTCACAGCAGAAGATATAACAAAGTTCCAGATTATTAGTCCCTGCATACTAAGCCTGTGTGTCTTCCAATAAATACATCAGTGAAGGCTTTTACRGCTTTAAATTGCCCTTTTACTAAGGGTTTACAGAGTTACTGCAGCACTCAAGGTGGATAAGGGTATCTTACACTGTACAAATAGAAGCTACTCTGTAGTTGCTCTAATGTGGACAGAACAGGATCCTGTAATAAAGCATCTTTTCTTGACCTCTTTGAGAGCAGAAAGGGAGACTTACCTGCAAAGTGGAGCAGATTTACATCTTCAGAGCTCTGGGGCCACTCAGATCCTCCTTGCTTGGAAAAGGCCCCCCCTCGAGTGGGGTTTTTTTTTGGGCCTTTTTATTCTGCAGGTTGCAGTAACTACCATGTATACACTATATAGTAAATCACTTATACCAAACAGTTCTACTCTAGAGATTCTTCAATTCCTGTTTCCCAGGAGAGTGCATTGCCCTTAGGAAGCCAGAGGCATTGTGTATAAACCCAGTGGTTGGGCAAATGCCATATCCACTCTCCTGCATTTTTCTGTGCAGGTTTCTGTGCCATTTCCACTTTTTTATTGAATTCATTGACATATGTAGTTGTCTTCCTGTATCATCTGTTCTAACTCTMAAATAACAATGATAAAAAACCCTCACACAGTGTTTTAGGTTTGCTTGTTTAGGCCCAATCCATTCTTCGTACCTTCTCTAGCAAGGATAAAATCAGCTAGGCACTTTAAGCAGAACACAGCCGGACCTTACAGAGATGAGGCTTCAGCAGTCACTGTCCTGTCCCCAGAACTATTCCCTGTTGCACACATTTACTTACTGTAACTGAGGAACTATGCCAGAGCTTTCRGATGCGGGTGTCACGGGGGTCACAGGTGTCATTGGCGTCAGAGGAGGACAGACCCCAGATGTTTCGGAGCACGGCTGGGTTGTGTCTGCCTCTGACAAACCGCTTTCCTCCAGAAAGACACCACTGTCCTCGTTTCTTGACACGGATCCATCAAGCTCTTTTTGTGTATCCTGAGCTCCTTCACATGGATTTTGGTCCTGGTCATCTTGGCTAATATCTGGAAGAAAGCTGAGATCCACCGAGGAGAAATCTGGAGGAAGCTCTTTGGGCTGATTAAATTGAGAAGCAAATGGTGCGTCTGGAGTTGTCTGAATTGGAAGGTCTACATCATAAGGGCTCATGGGAGCAAAGAGCTGAGGACTAGTTGAGATATCATCCTTGAATTAAGAAAAAAAAAGTGTCATTAAACTTCGTGTATTAAAATATTTACCTCAACTGAGAGGCTGAATTAAAATACATCTTTCATTCAATGAGGAAGTTTCAGTATTTTTCCTCCACCCACATTATAGCAAATAATACTCTGAAGGGTGTTGCCTGTCTCTGGCAAATAAAAATCAAGATGATTTCCCCTCAGCAGTTTTATTTTTATAGCTCAAGCGTCAAACTAGCAAACAGAACAGCAGCCCTCAAGTTGCAAGTGAGGGCCCAAACCCACCAACTCCAGTGGTGATTCAGCAGGGTCAAAGACRGAGGGTACAAGGAAATGCAAGAAACCTTTCTATAGCAAAGCAGCAAATGTTCCCATTGCATTTTACGGGCAGCCTGCACCACATCACACCACAAACTGAGAAATATTCTAGATTTTCATTGGTGATTTGAAGGACAACGACAGCAGTTTCCCCTTCACACCCTTTGCCACACTTCAGTGTGAGTCACACAACTGCTGCTGAGTTTTTCCCTGGGAGACAGCTGGCATTTTCTGGCCGGCTCCAACCCTCCTTCATTACATTCCAATTCCCTCTCCCTGCGCAGGGGATGGGATCTGTGTTATAGTCCATCTGTGCAACAGAGGGCAGCAGTTCACAGAGCCCCCAGCAGCTCCTGCATTCGACTGCTGGAGGCTACAGGACTAATTCAAGCAAGACAGAGCTGGAATCCCTCCTCAGCTCAAGCAGCACATCTGCAAGCAAGTTCTTGCATGCTAATGGTCTCCTCTATTAAGATCACCTGTTTAAATAAGAAAAAATAATTTAAAGGCACTGAAATAGTGTGGAGGCAAGTGCTCAAGGAAGGACATATCCCTTGTTCATCTGGGTACAGTCCTTGTTAGGGGAAAACTGCTTCTGAGAGGGTTATCGCAGCAGCCACCCACAGAGGGTGGCAGCCTGATCTAGATGATCCACACCAGCAATCTTGTCTCCATTTAGGTGCTATTAGGATCAAAAGCCAAACAGACTCAGATATCCAAGCGCATATTGGAGCTGGGAGCATAGCACGAGATGGAAACCCTGGTCTTGGGAGGGAACAGACTTGCCGGATCCGCGCGTCCCGGCCCGCAGCAGGAATCACTGCGCTCTCTGTGCTCATCAGTGTGCATAGCCCTGTGTGCTCTGCTCGCAGGAGGGCTCTGCTCCAGGTGCTGCCCAGCATGTCCTGCTGCAGACACTGGGAAGATTGTTAAGTGGCAAAACCCACAGAGCCTCTCCCAGCCCCAACACAGATGGATCAGGCCTCATGACAACAGCTGGACAAATACCTCGAGTTAAACCTGGTGGAGATCATTTGGCGTGAACTGGTCTGGAGAAGTAGATATTCCCTAACTCTTTTGCTTTCTGGAAAAGAGGGCCCCAAGCACACTCAGAATTACCAAGTCAGAAGCATATTTTAAAGAAATAAATAGATGCTTGCAAAAAGACAATATGCTATGGAATAGCTAGGCATCTTTTTTTAACAATGCTTTAAAACAGTATTTAAATATATTCTATATTAGCAACAGGGAAGGGAAACAGTCTGCAGAAGTCCTACAATACACCAAGTTTTAGCTGTACAGGAGCAGACTAGGATTTTTTTTTCTTCCCTGCAAACCAAGTGACCTTCAGCAGACAGTGCAATTAAAAACAAAACAACCCTCCCTCCCCACCCCAAACTCATCACTGAGTCTCACAGGACTATTCACATCTTGTAGTCGGGGCAAAGAATATAACRGAGTCAAGAAATTGATGCTAAGCACACAGCTTGTGGCATAGCTTGAACAAAGAAGTTGATGGGGAGGAGGAGAGTGGAATATGAAGCCCCAAGCATTAAATAGGTGAAAAAAATGAAAGGAAAAAACAAAAATAAACTACATAGAGTGAAAGAAACCAAGTCTTCCTTTCTCGTCAGGTTTCCAGATGACTTTGGAAAACAAAAACGAAACAAAAAATACCCCACAACCTTACAGGGTTAAGCAATTAAGCAGCATGGAAGATGCTTCTTGCGAGGCAGATGCTGAGAAGTGGTACAGGGGGGCACAGGACCACCCTGTGTCCTGCTGTGTGTTATTGCCACAGGCTCTAGGTTAATGAGCTTCACCCAAGGGCCCCTCAGCTGCATGGCCTTGGAGATCTCCCCCCAGCTCCATAAAGGAGATCTGAGATCACTAAGGTAGAGTAGTTTGAGGGAAACAACCATTTTCTATGATTTTCATTCCCATTACAAGAGGCCAGGCAACCCATATAGACATAAATCAAAGCCAACTGCTTTAAACAACTGCCCAGGTTTCTCTCCCCGCCTTTTTTTCCCTCCCTCCAAATTGATATCTCACATATTTGCTCCAAGCAGCAACCCAGCAAGGCTGAAACCACAAACCTGAGCACTAGCTGTGAAAGCTGGTGAGTTGTGACTCACTGCAATAGACTTTAGGGGGCTTTGCCCACTGCTGCTAGAAGGGACATAGATTTGAAGAGAGCAGCCAAAGCCAGGCTGAATAGTAGCTTAAAACGGGACATYGGTGAGAAGCAGAGGACACAAGAGCAAAGTGCTGCAGGGTGGACACGGGGCTCAGCTACAGCCCCACACCACAGAGCCAGTGGAGATAAGAAAAAGCAGGAAAAGGAGAATTTTGGGCAAGAGCTGCAGCAGCTGGGGCTGCTCGTGGGATGCAGGCRGGAGCATCACTGCAGCACCGCGTTGGTGGTATAGTGGTGAGCATAGCTGCCTTCCAAGCAGTTGACCCGGGTTCGATTCCCGGCCAACGCAAGCTCCTATTTTTTTCCCTTTTTTTTCCTTTCGTCTCTTTCCTTTTTTTTCTTTTTTCTTTTTCCATTTCCCTTTTTTAAGGCTTCCCTTTACCACCCCTACCTGCCCATTGCAGCGCTCCAGGTACTGCTCCAGAGGGGACACACCATCCATGGGCCCAGGGGCTACCCCCTGCCTGCTGCATCCACCTTTATACGTGTGGGGGGGAAGGCAGTTCCATCAGCACCTGTGTTGTGTGTGTCCCTCCTCCCCCAGCACTGGCAGGTGCAGCTCCTCTGGGGCTCTGAGAGTGTGGAGGGAGTCCTTTCTGTCCCGTATGGGGCTGCAAACCGTGAGGACAAGTGGCATGTAGGACTCTCCCTGTGGGCAAATGCTCCCATGCCTGGGCATGACACGGGTGGGAGGTAAGGAAATTCGGGGAAATAGAGTGCAGGTAGCTCCTTTGGAAGCCTCTATGGGGTGTTTGGCCCAGAAGGGCTGTTCTGGAGTTGGTTATCCGGGCAGAATCCAGCCCAAAGAGTCCATTTAGAAAGTGTGAAGCAGAACAGAATTCACAGTCATTTTAAAACAGACACCAAGGTCTTGGTGTGCTGGGGTATGGAGCTGCAGCAGGCCAGTGTGGAACCTCACTGCAATGTTTTTTGCCCCTCTCAAGTACCCCTTTGGCTTCAAGCTGGGCACTTTTGGAGCAGGATTGCCTGCAGGGACTTGCCTTGACCTCAGGGAAGTGCTAGGGATGGCAGGGCTGCCTCTCATGCTGTGTATGAGCCTATGAACCTGGACTGCTCTTGAGCTCCCCTTGCCTCTGCTGACCCCTCTCACCTCTGCAGGGCTGTTGATAAAAGAAGAGTCAGGGCTGCAGCTTAGATGTGGCAAAGATAAAGCTTTGTGCCTTGCTGATGCTTTTTAGAGAGCAAGTAACTGCCCTTAATTTCTCCCACCTGCCTYGTTAAGGACAATAAGTTGCACCTGGCCCCAGAGGCAGAGCCTTTTGCAAGTCTAATGCAAGGTCAAGGCCCCCCAAACTCACCAGCTGTGCAATGAAATGACCTCTTCTCAGCTGGGTGGTGCTGTTAACACTGTGGGGGAAGGAGGTATTCCTTTTAATTGCTGTTGGCCTCTGAGAGTCCTTTTTTGCTTTGGTATCTCTGTGTTTCCCCCATGTTAATGTTGTCTCTTAATGGAACGTACCCTGTTCTCTAGGGTACATTACTGGCTGGAGAAGTCAAACAGAGCCCAAAGTGGCAGAGAGGCCACGCAGACATGAATGCAAAATACAAGTCTATTTCTGTTGTTTCTTGCTGTGGATAGGAGCAGCCTGCAAGTCTGGTGTAGGCAGTTTGTATTGAGAGGATGGAAAGACTGCCCAAGAAAGGATTGCCGAGAGAGTCTCTGTGATAGCACCGCCTGCAACAGAGCATATTAAAGMAAGCCCAGAAATGCTGTGAGCACCAATACGTGACTCACAGCCCTGATAGGCAGAGCTCATCCTGCGGCTTCCAGCGACCTCTGTGTCAAACACGTGTGTCTCGCAGCTGCCGTGCCTGCTCAGTCATGTTCGCCAACACTGAGGCTCCGACGTCTCCTCCTTCAGGAGCAAATTGCCAGCGGCTGCAGCGGAGTAAAGCCTGGGAAGCGTCACCGTCCCACGGATGAGCAGGAGGCAGCAAGACCTCTTGCAGGCCCTGCGCAGTTTTGGGTTGCTTGTGTACTTTGTTGGTGCCTTTTCTGTCAAATGGATTTAATATCACTTATTTCAAAGGTGAGCTGAAAGGAAAGTGTATGAAAGTCTGCAAGGTTTTTAGAGGAGTGTAAGGTTATGCTCTCTAGGTAGCTAAACACTTCAGGGTTAATTTGATTCAGTGGATAGGTCTTTTGACTGCTGGAGAGATGGCGCCTAGAGGGGTGTTGTTAGGGCTTGTCCACTCCTCTCTGCCTGCTTTTCTCAGCCAAAACCATCAGAGACATCGTTTTCTCTCTGCTACAGTAGCAGCTCCTGAGAGCTGTTAGGAGGAGCTGTTATCCTGTTTCTGATCATCCAGGTCAAATAGGATCAGCAAGGCCAACTATTTTTCGTGTTCTGGCTTAATAAATAGACTTGCCCTCTCAAGCTGCTGTCTGTGCCTTGTCCTGGGGAGGCTGGGCGCGCGCGGGCCAGGGTGACTCACGAGGGGCCGCGCTCGGCACGGAACGGTGCCTGTTACGCACGGCCCTGGCAGCGTGCGCCGCTTGCAGGGCTCCTGAGTCATCCCACATGCGTAGCCGCTGCTTTAATTAGCAGGCGGGTTCATTTTTCTTGGGAAGGCTGATGCATGGAACCACAGGAGCTTTGTGCTCTTCTCCAAGAGGCCTCAGATGTCATTGTTCTTCCTCAGGTAGCTAATTGTGGAAGGCTATTCCAGAGAGCTTCTCCTAGTGCTTGTGTTGCCTCCTCTTAGCTGTGTCTGCATCGCCATGTTATATCTGCTGTTGTCTAGTTCTGGGATGGTACTAATCACAGGAGACTTCCCAAAATCTGGAAGGGACAAGGAACAAATCCCTAAGGAAGCTCCCCCTGCTTTACTTATTAATACTCTCAATAGCCGCCTTCTAAACCTAGCACTGTGAATGCTTTGCTGCTGGCTTTGAAGCTGCTTCATCTCGTTTGGCTTTATCTTATCTTTTTCAGGAGTCAGTTTGGGAATTAAGAGCCTGTGATTGACAGACCTCTGCTTTCCACTCTCCGGAGCTTCCTGCAAAGTTTTTATAGCTGTAGGAATCTCTGAAGAGCGTAGGTTGTCTCAGGTGGCATTTGTGCATCCTGGTGGCATTAGAGCTGTGCCTCTGGAGGAGATGGAAGAGCAACTGAGAGCAGGATTGAGCACTGAGAGCAATTTACAGTGCCCAAGTTACCTCCAAATGCAGCATTTCCAGGTACCCTGTTTCACTAGGCTTTGTGTGAGCAACACATCCAGCTGGAGCAGTTGCATCAGGGTGGGTGTGACTGAGTGTCTTCAATCCTCACCAAGTGTCACTGTGGAAACTATCTATTCTACAACGCTCCATCCTGCACCTGATTGATACTTGTCTGTGCAACCAGCTTTTGGATTTTTTGCCAGGGAGGAAAAGAAACCCCCAAGACTATTAACTGAGTAATAGTGAATAATTTAACTATTAACTGTGAGTAATTGTAATCATTAAATGTTGCTGGTGCAAATAAGAAGAGAATTGGGTCTGGGAGATTTAATGTTTGGTTCCAACTTGCCTCTGTATAGGTGGGAAGTGATCCTGTTATGTAAGTGAGGTTGCCGTGACTTGAAATTGGGCTGGGTTCAGGAGGCAGTTTAATGCTCCTGGCCCCGTAGTGCAGGTTTATTGGGTGGGAAGGAGGAGGGCAGCAGCTCCTCGTTTTCCCACCTCAGGCCATGTGTCCATCCCCATCTCCCCAGCTCATGTGGACAGGCGGCCTCTCTGTCCTGGTTAAACAGGGACTCTCTCCCTTCCTGAAAACCTCAGTTGGATATTGGGAATCTTTGCAAACATGAATTTACTTCTAGGTCTTGTTAGCAAACACATGTGTCTTCCCCATATGCTGGTTGCTACCAGCATGAGGTCAATGGTTAGCTCTTATAACCATAAAGATGGCTATTCCTGTTGAATGAACAAGTGTTGAACTGCCCAAAAAGGACACGTGCTTCCTGGCTCCTATGGAAGTGTTCCATGAAAGGAAGGATTCCAACTGCCCCAAAGCTGGAGGATTGCTGAGGCCCAGGCTCAGAGAGTGCTGCCAGTGGCTCCACTGAGTGCCTGACAAAGCAATGTAAGTGAAAGCCACTTGTTCCCACTGCAAGGTGACTGGTGACTTCCAGACTTACACTAAAAGCTTCATTTAACTTCCCTGTTTTCAAATAGCAGCAAACTGATTAAAGGGAAGCTTTGTGTATGTGGCTTACACAGCACCCTACTTGTCTTGGCCCAGGCATGCTCTTGAATGTTCAGTGTTGGACTGGGTTGTGTGAGACAGCACATCAGTCTACTTCTATTTTTCATTATGTGGTGCCTTTAAAACAGAACCAGGAAAAAAAAAAGAGCTTTAAGCACTGGCTGACACCTTAATTGCTACTTTGCGATTAATGGCCATGGGCTTTCTTGGACAGCTCCTGTGTGAACATTGTGCACAAATGTCCCTGTCACCTGGTTCAGAGGAATCCTTGCATGCTTTTTGTTAAGTCATCTTCCTAATTTTTGTGCCAAATGGTCTGTCTGAATTGAATTGCATTTAAATGAGGTGAATATGCAGCAGATCGTCTGACTGCCGATGTTTCCCTCCAAGTGTGGTGATAAATTGCTGCAATACAAACACTGCCACTCATGCGTTGAACTTGGAGCTGCAATTAAATACTGATCCTTTAAGTCTTATCTGAAAAAAAAATGCACAGTAATGGCACCTGTGTGTATTTGCACAGAAAAGCAGAGAAGTGTGCATGTGGCTGGTGCTAACAGACCTCTATTAATTTAATTTGCAGGGTCACGGTAACATTAAAGATGGGAGCAATGATGTTGCTATGCCGTAGGACCTTCAAGGCAAATGGAGCAGGTACTGTGATTTCTTTACTGTTTTTACTGAGCTGCTCTTGCCTGTCAGCTTGGTTACATCAGCCGAAGTGGTTTGACTCTTGTATGGTAGAGACAAAGGGAGATGCATTTTATGCAAATACTATGTGCAGAGGAAAGTGTCGACCAGCCTCTGAAATCCCCGTAAAACTTGAGTTTTGTCTGAGTGATCAGCGAGTTGTATTAAGTGGCACCGGAATGAGTCTGCAGGGCGTGTGGCGAGGCGATTAGTCAGCCCTCGTTACCGCTTCTTCCAATTAGCTGTAAGCAAATCCGAGCAGTTGAGTCAATGAGGTCCTCGGGAGAAACTAGAGCTCCCCCAAATGTTGGCAGTCACAAGTAGACACTCCGGTTTCTCCCCACCCACACTGTAGTGTTTGTATTTTTCACTTTGTACCTTTAATGCACGTAATTAACCTCTCACACAGTCACGTTTCTGTTACTTTAGCCCTTGCGCATAGCGCGCAGTGAAAGTTGTTAGCTTAGCAGTAAGGAAGGCGCCGTGCCTGGCTCTGCTGTCACGGGCTCCTGCAGCCCATGGCTTTCCCTGCTCGCTCCGTGCA